ATGCAATAATGGGGCACTATGAGGCAATAATGGGGCTCTAAGATGCAATAATGGGGATCTATGAGGCTATAATGGGGTCTATGAGGCTATAATAGGATTTATGAGGCAATAATGGGGCTCTGTGATGCAATAATGGAACACTATGAAGCAATAATGGGGCTCTATAATGCAATAATGGGGCTCTACGAGGTAATGATGGGGGTCTATGAGGCAATAACGGGGCTAGATGACGCAATACTGGGGCTCAATGATGGCTATAATGAGGTCTACGAGGCTATAATGGGGCTCTATGGGGTTATAATGGGCCTCTATGAGGCAGTAATAGGGGTCTATGAGGGAATAATGGGGCTCTATATAGCAACAATGGGACTCTATGAGGCTATAATGGGGTCTATGAGGCTATTCTGGGGCTCTATGGAGCAATAATGGGAGTCTACGAGTAAATAATGGGGCTCTATGTTGCAATCATGGTGCTCTATGAGGTAAGAATTGGACTCTATGATGCAATCATGGGGCTCTATGAGGCAATAATGGGGCTCTATGAGGCTATAATGGGGCTCTATGTGGTTATAATGGGGCTCTATGATGCTATAATGAAGTCTATGAGGTAATAATGGGGCTCTATGATGCAATAATGAGGCTCTATGATGCAATAATGGGGCTCTATGAGCCAATACTGGGGCTCTACAACGCAATAACGGGGCTCTACGAGGTAATAATGGGGCTCTATTAGGCAATAATGGGGTTCTATGAGGAAATAATCGGGCTCTATGAGGCAATACTGGGGCTCTATGTGGTTATAAAAGGGCTCTATGACACAATAATGGGGCTCTATGAGGCTATAATGGGGTCTATGAGGCAATAATGGGGCTCTATAAGGTAAAAATGGCTCTCTATGAGGCAATAATGGGGCTCTATGAGGCTATAATGGGGTGTATGAGGCAGTAATGGGGTGTATGAGGCAGTAATGGGGCTCTATGTGGTTATAATTGGGGTCTGGGGGGCAATAATGGGGCTCTATGAGGCATTAATGGGGCTCTATGAGGCTACAATGGGGTGCATGAGGCAGTAATGGCGCTCTATGTGGTTATAATTGGGCTCTGGGGGGCAATAATGGGGCTCCATGAGGCAATAGTCATAGAATCATAGAATCATTATCATTGGAAAGGCCCTTAAGATCATCCAGTTCCAACCCCCCTGCCATGGGCAGGGACACCTCACACTAAACCATCTCACCCAAGTCTTCGTCCAACCTGGTCTTGAACACTGCCAGGGATGGAGCATTCACAACCTCCCTGGGCAACCCATTCCAGTGCCTCACCACCCTCACAGGAAAGAATTTCCTCCTTAGATCCAATCTAAACTTCCCCTGTTTAACTTTCAACCCATCACCCCTTGTCCTGTCACTATAGTCCCTAATGAAGAGTCCCTCCCCAGCATCCCTATAGGCCCCCTTCAGATACTGGAAGGCTGCTATGAGGTCTCCACGCAGCCTTCTCTTCTCTGCTTCTGCAGAAAACCCAGAGAACTAGATGGTACTGGTATGGGTAATCAAAGCTAGGAAGTAAGATCCCGAAACATCAGCATTACAGTGCAGATGCCCTGCTAACAGTTTCCCAAATGAACTTACCCAAATGCCCAGTGCCAGCAGAGAGCATGCCATTCGGTGCGCATGGTCACGCACAGCACAGTCAGGATGCTCCTCTTCACACACAGCTCTGCAAACGCACCGCAGTCCTGACCTCCAGCACTGCTTATTGTGGTTTGGAATGTTTCTGAACAGCTACTGCCAGAATTGTCAAAATGAATGAAATTAAAAACTGACCTACAGTGAAAACCATACTCGGTTTTTTATTTATGACTCAAAATAAGAATATATCTTCTTACTTTTAAAGTTTGTCAAATAAGGAAAGTTTAAAATTACTTAGATAATTCACAATCAGTGATGAATTTTAAAGTCAGCCACGTGTCTCCAGTTCGTGTCAATACGTCTGAGGAAATTCTCTCAGTCGTCTTTGGTATTTGAAGAGTTGGAAGCACGTTGTAACAAACAAACAAGGACACATGCAGAGATATCAATAGGTGGTATTGCCACTAGGCATGAAAAATTCACCAACGATATGTCAAGGTTATGTTGATGTAGCTGCGTCCATTTCGGGAAAGACACCCCCAATTATTTGTATATCGTTATATGGATGATATACTGGTGGCTGGGAAAGTAACCTACAAGCTGTTAAACAAGAATTGTGTTCAGTGTTGCAACAACATAAATTGCAAATTGCCCCTGAAAAGGTTCAGGATACCACACCATGGAAATATTTGGGTTGGAAAATCTTAGATCATACCATTGAACCTCAGGAAATTAGCCATCAAGGTCAACATCCGTACACTTAATGATGTGCAAGTCTTGTTAGGGAATATCAGTTGGATTCAAACATTATTGGGAATTGACAGCAAAACTTTATAACCATTATTGAATTGTTGAAGGGTGACACAGACTTCAATGCACCCAGACAATTAACACCAGCAGCAAAACGAGCAATAGCAATGGTAGAAGCTGCATTAAGTGAGACAGGCACATTGTGTGATGAATGGAGTTCCTATTGAGTTTTTGGTTGTCAGTAATGATTTCCAGCCAGTAGGATTAATCATGCAATTGGTTGAATCTGATAAGGAGAAATTGAAAATTCTCGAGTGCCAATTTTTGTCACATCAACCATCAAAAAACATTGTAACCAGACCTGAAACGTTTGCTAAGTTGCCTCTTTGCAAAACAGGGCTGCCATAGACTTCTTATTATTAGCACAAGGCCATGGCTGTAAAGATTTTGAGGGTATGTGCTGCAGGAATTTGTCAGACTTTTCGGAATCTATTCAAAAAACTATTCAGGAACTGAAAAAAGGAGTAACAAAGTTACAGGTAAATGATGGATTTTTTGGATTAGGAAATTGTCTTAACTCTCTAGGACTTGGGACATGGTTTGTTTCATTGATCAAAGGAGGTCTTATAATGCTATTCATTGTTATTTGTATCTTACTGATTGTTCCATGTTTATTGAGTTGCCTACAGCGAACGTCAGAAAACATGGTAAAGAAAGTGATGTTTTTAGAAAAACAAAAAGGGGAGATGTAGGAGAAGAGGCATTTGAACGTGGTCAGAGGATGCTGAGCGACCTTAATTCTTTGGGGAATTAACTTTGAGCCAGACTCTGCAATTTCAGCTCTGTGGGGAACTAACATCAAGCAAGAAAAGTGGAACAAAAGAAGCAGAATAAAAGGGGATGAAAATGAGAAGTAGAAGAAGGAACTGAGAAGTGAGGAGAAGGTCGAAAGGATAGTGTCAAAAAAGCAGACTAATCAATTATAATTTTAGATTATGCTCGTGGACAGCAGCAACTAACCAAGTGTATTGTAGCTTTAAGTGCGTGGATATGATCAAAAAGATACATAAACCATGTAATCTAAAGTAAAAAGGTCTTCGACCAGCAATCGGACTCCGTGCCTTAAATCCCCTCACTAAAGGAGAAAAGTGATTTTAGAAACTGGACTACTACACCCGAATATAATTGACTTCTGAAGATGCTGGTACATTTCTTTTGTATAGAGTATAAATAAGGCAAGTGCTTTTTACTTACTGAGCTGTGATGTAGAAAGTGTTGATCTAGAACAGCTGGAAAAAATTAGTTATTCACATATACTTTAGAAAAGGCTTAATACAGAAGGACAGGGAAAGAGTTGCATGTTTAGTATTAGCATAGAGGAGTGACACTTACTGCAAATTTAAATACCTAATATGCATATTTGAGTGTTGTCTGAAAATAATCACTGATGACTTACTGTAGTGACTGAAAAATTACCAGCTCCAACTGCTGAGGATGCTAGAGGCTGACAGACGCAGTGGTTGCTGCTGTCAGAACAAAGGGAGAAGCTGGTGGGAATGCAAACTCATTTTTTAAGGTAGTACTTACTATCACTAAGGTGTCTAGAGCAAATGGTGGGCAAATAGTCATAGAATAGTTAGGGCAAGAAAGGACTTCAAGATCATCTAGTTACAGCCTCCCTGCTGATACGGAGAAAACTCCAGGAACAAACTCACCACCAAAGTTTTCAAGCTGACAAGCAGGTATTCTTTACTGCGGCACCGGGAGACACGGGGGATAGCTACGGGTAGCGTGTATCACCCCGATTGCCACACAAGCCGTGCTTTTATAGCCACTGGGCATACATACATATTCATGAGGCTACGGATGGATTACATCCTTTTCCAGAGAGTTCCCTGCATGCGTACAGAATTGTGGGGGTGGTCTCTGAGGGTAGTTTACTTCCTCCAACGATCTTCATCACTTCTGGCAGCCTTTGAAGCACGCACAGTAGATGCTCATACCAGTTTAATTGGTTCGTTAGCACCAGAGACATAACAATCCTCCTATCCTCCTACTTATCAGTTAGTTTAACTGTAGCCCATCCTGGACACCTGCGGTTCCCAGATACTCCTTAAACCTGTGTCCTGTTCTTCTAGACTATTTTTTCCTTAAAACTATGTCAACTATAGCAATTTATCTTGTGAGAATTCTCAGTATGTTCTCTATGTTCTCTAGCTGCTCTATGGAATCTTTTTCTCCCTGTGTCACGCACCTCAGTAATTTTCCATTGCTACTGTTACAAAGCCATCAAACTTAATATTACTTAAAGCTAATGATAAAGATTTCTATATTCCATTTTGTGATTTTGTGTCGTCCCCCCCCCCCCTTTGTCTCACTATGGAATGCCATTGTTCTGGGGGAGGGTCACAGCTCCTCCTTGTCCATGGTGCTGAAGAAGATGTGAGATCCTCAGTGTCCCTTATGGAACTGCATCTCCCTATGGAATCCCAGCATTCCTTACGGAATGGCAGCATTCTCTATGGATTGACAGTGTTCCCTATGGAATGCCATTGTCCGGGGGGGGGGGGGGGTGGGGTGTCACAGCTCTTCCTTGTCCACAGTACCGGAGAAGAAGCAGGCGAAGCGGCAGAGATGGCACGAGGCCGAGTGCAATTCCTGCTGCAGGCACTGGATGTTGTGGTGCAGCTTGGCCACTACCACCTGGAGAACCACCTTGTCCTGCTTCTTCTGTAGGATACAGGCTCAGAGTCCCAAAACAGCCCCAAAACAGCCCCAAAATCGCCCCAAAACCAGCCCATAAAAACTTTATTTTGCTTCTCCTATGGGATACGGGGTTAAAGCCCCAAACCATAAAAAAAAAAAACAGGAAAAAACCACCCCAAAACAGCCCCAAAACACCCCAAAACCATCCCAAAACCACCTTGTCCTGCTTCTCCTATGTGCTACAGGGTCAGAGCCCCAAAACAGCCCCAAAACAGGACAAAACCACACCAAAATACCCTCACACCACCACAAAAACCATCCAAAAACCACCTTGTTCTGCTTGTCCTATGAAATACAGGGTCAGAGCCACAAAACAGGACAAAAACAGCCCAAACCACCCAAAAACCACCTTGCCCTGCTTCACCTAAGAGATAAAGGGTCACAGCCCCAAAACAGGACAAAACCACCCCAAAACACACAAAACCACACACATAACACCCCAAACCACGGCAAAAGCACTCAAAAAACACCTTGTCCTGGTTCTCCTGTGGGATATAGGGTCAGAGCCCCAAAACAGACCCAAAAAAGCCCCAAACCAACCCAAAAAAAATCCGAAAACGACCCCAAAATCACCTTGACCTGCTTCTGCTGTGGGATACAGGGACAGAGCCCAAAACCAGCTCCAAAACAGGCCAAAATCACTCAAAACCCCCCAAAACAGGCCCAAAAGAGACCCAAAAAAATATCTTGTCCTGCTTCTCCTATGGGATACAGGATCAGAGCCTCCAAACAGCCCCAAAACATGCCAAAAACAGTCCAAAAACACCAAAACACCCCCAAAACACCCCAAAACCACCTTGCCCTGCTTCTCCTATAGGATACAGTGTCAGAGCACCAAAAAGACCCAAACAGGCCAAAAACAACCCAAAACACTCCAAATCCCAGCCCAAAACCACCTTGTCCTGCTTCTGCTATGGGATACAGGGTCAGAGCTCCAAAACAGACCCAAAACAGGCCAAAAAAAAAACAAAACACCCAAAAACTCAGCCCAAAACCACCTTGACCGGCTTCTGCTACGGGATACAGGGACGCAACGCCAAAACAGACCCAAAAGAAACGCAAAATAGGACAAAACCACCCCAAAAGCACCTTGTCCTGCTTCTCCTATGAGGTACAGGGTCAGAGCCCCAAAACAGGACAAAAAAAGGCGAAAACCAGGCCAAAAAACCCAAAGCAAACCACAAAACAGGCCACCCCCCCCCCAGAATCACCTTGTCCTGCTTCTCCTGTGGGATACAGGGGCAGAGCCCCAAAAAAGACGTAAAAGATGACAAAAATAGGACAAAAACCCCCCAAAAGCATCTTGTCCTGGTTTTACACTGGGGTACACGGTCAGAGCCTCCAAATAAGAAAAAAACACGACAAAAACAGGACAAAAACAGGACAAAACACCCAAAACAACCCCTAAAACAGGCCAAAACTACCCCAAAATCACCTTGTCCTGCTTCTCCTATGGGACACAGGTCAGTGCCCCAAAACAGGACAAAACCAACCTAAAACCAGCCCAAAAACACCTTGATCTGCTTCTCCTATGGGATACAGGGTCAGAGCTCCAAAACAGACACACAAGAAGACAGAAACACTCCAAAACCCCCAAAACAGCCCCACAACACGTGAAAACCTCCTCGTCCTGCTTCTCCTATGGGATACAGGGTCAGAGGCCCAAAACAGACCCAAAACAGGACAAAACCAACCCAAAACACCCCCAAAACACCCCAAAACCACCTTGTCCTGCTTCTCCTATGGCATACAGGGTCAGAGGCCCTAAACACCCCAAGATCCAAGACAAAACTACCCCAAAACCACCTTGTCCTGCTTCTCCTACGGGATACAGGGTCAGAGCCCCATAACAGCCTCAAAACACCCCAAAAACTAGCCCAAAACCACCTTGTCCTGCTTCTGCTGTGGGATACAGGGTCAGACCCCAAAACAGCCCCAAAATAAGACAAAACCATGCAAAAACCAGGACAAAACACCCAAAGCAAACCGCAAAACAGGACAAAACTACCCCAAAACCACCTTGTCCTGCTTCCCCTACAGGATACAGGGTCAGAGCCTCAAAACAGCCCCAAAACAGGACATAAACATTCCAAACCCCCCCCAAAAGCCCCAAAACACCTCAAAACCACCTTCTTCTTCTTCTCCTATGGGATACAGTGTCAGAGCCCCGAAACAGACCCAAAAAACCACCAAAGCAGGACAAAACCACCCCAAAAACACCTTGTCCTGCTTCTCCTGTGGGATACACAGTCAGAGCCCTGAAACAGACCCAAAACAGGCCAAGTACAACCCAAATCACCCCAAAACCAGCTCCAAAACCCCCAAACCACCCCAAAACCACCTTGTCCTGCTTCTCCTATGGAACACAGGGTCAGAGCCCCAAAACAGGCCAAAACCAGGCCCAACCACCCCAAAACCAACTTGTCCTGCTTCTCATATGAGACACAGGGTCAGAGCCTCAAAACAGACCTAAAAGAGGCCAGAAACACTCCAAAACACCCCCAAAACCAGGACAAAACCACCTTGTCCTCCTTCTGCTATGGGATACAGTGTCAGAGCCCCAAAACAGGCCACAAATGACCCAGAACACCCCAAAACCACCTTGTCCTGCTTCTCCTATGGGATACAGGGTCAGAGCCCCCCAAAAAGACACAAAACATGACCAAAATATGGCAAAACAACCCCAAAACTACCTTGTCCTGCTTCTACTCCGGGGTAAACATTCACAGCCCCCAAACAACCCCAAACCAGACCCAAAACAGGACAAAACCAGGCCAAAACATCCAAAACAATCCCCAAAACCACCCCAAAATCACCTTGTCCTGCTTCTCCTATGGGACACAGGTCAGAGCCCCAAAACAGGACAAAACCAACCTAAAACCAGCCCAAAACCACCTTGTCCTGCTTCTGCTGTGGGATACAGGGTCAGCGCCCCAAAACAGACCCAAAACAACCCAAAATCCACCCCCAAGCCCACCTTGTCCTGCTTATCCTGTGGGATACAGGGTCAGAACCCCAAAACAGACCCAAAACAGGCCAAAAACAACCCAAAAACCACCCCAAGCCCACCTTGTCCTGCTTCTCCTGTGGGATACATGGTCAGAACCCCAAAACAGCTGCAAAACAGGATAAAAGCAACCCAAAATCATTCAAAACAGACCCAAAACACCCTAAACCAGGTGTCTGCTTCTCCTTATCAATGGTTAGTGCCTTTGTTCTGCTTAGTAGGCATGATAGGTACAGACCATACTTTTGTTTTAGCAAGTGAATTCCTCTAACCCCCTTGTACAACCCCATTGTACAACCCCCCTGTACACTGGTTAACCCTGTATCAGATGGACGGATAGATGGATGGATGGATGGGTGATGGATGAACGGATGAGTGGAAGGATGATGGATGATGAAAGATGGATGATGGATAACGGATGAATGGATGAATGAATACACATAGATTCCATAAGCCTCATCTCCTATTACTTTCCCATCTGTAATGCTGAAAGCCCATCGTGAAGAGCAGCACTGAACCAATGAAACCCTTGTAGGGTCCAAACACAAATCAGTCTATTACACACAAATTCTTTAATCATGTCCAATTTAATAGTTCAGAGTCCCAGGGCAGCTCCTCACAGCAATCAGTCAAACCATGGACAGTTCAGGCTCAGTCCAGTTCAGTCACTCACAAGGGGATGGGGTGGGATTGACATGGGATGGGAAGGGGTGGGATCGAATGGGATTAGGATGGGTTGAGGTGGGATGGAATGGAGTGGGCCTGGGTGGGGTGGGATGCAAAGATGAGACGAGATGAGATGCAATGCAATGGGATGCTTTGAGATGCAATGAGATGCCATGGGATGGCAAGAGATAGGGGATAGGAGATAGAGATAAATGAGAAGAGAAGAAAAGAGAAGAGAAAAGAGAAGAGAAGAGAAAGAGAAGAGAAGAGAAGAGAAGAGAAGAGAAGAGAAGAGAAGAGAAGAGAAGAGAAGAGAAGAGAAGAGAAGAGAAGAGAAACGGATGAGGACGATGAAATGAAACTCAATGAAATTATATCAAATGGACATGAAATTAAATGAAATAAAATAAAGTGAAAAAACAAAATGAAATGAAATTATATGATAGGAAATGGTATATTTTTGGAGAGAAGAAGAGGAGAGAAAATGACGAGGAGGTGAAAAGAAACCAAATGCAATGAAATGGAAATGAAATTATATGATATGATATGACACTATAACATGACATAACATGATAAAACATAATATGGTATATACTATGATACAATATATGCTATGAGGGTGAAACGAATTTAAATGACATGACATCAAATGGACGTGAAATGGAAATGGAAATGAAAATGGAAGGAAATTAAATATAATCAAATTCTATGGTATGGTATGATACAGTATGGTACAGCATGGTATGTATGATACGCTATGATAGCAAAGATAAGCTATGATATGCTTTGATAAGGTATGATATGCTATGATATACTATTGTATGATATGTGATATGATGGTATGGTATACAACTGCATGACATGATCAGATATGATATGATAGATTATGCTATGATAAAATACAGTATGATAAAATATGATATGATATGATATGATACGATATAACATGACATAATATTTTTGGAGAGGAGAGAAAATGGTGAGGATGAAATGAAATTAATTGCAATGTAATGGAAACAAAATGAAATGATATGATGATATGATGTAACATGATATAACATAATAAAACATATGATATGATACAAGATATGCTATGCTATGCTTTGACATGGTATGATATGCTATAATATGCTATATGATTCAATATCATATTCTACAGCATATGATGAGGGGAGGAGAGGAGAGGAGATGGCGTGGGATTGGACGGGATGGAATGGGATGCGATGAGATTAGATGCAATGAGATGCGGCCATGAGATACAATGAGATGCGATGAGATGAGATGCAATGAGATCAGAAGAGATCTGGGAAGACGGTGGCTCAGGCAGTTGGCTGTGTCCCATCTGCCTTGACAAACTGCCACCACAATCCACAAGTGGCCCGTGCCCACTGCACCCAGAGCCTGGGATGCAAAGCAGAGAATTACAAGGGTGTCCCAGTCACACGGGGAACCCCAAATGTGGTTTTACACAGGGTTCTCACACCCTTCAAACAGTCGTGTACCACACATTTGGACCAAGCACTAGCACCCTCACTACCAATGACCAGTCCTAGTCCAACTCTGCCAGGCGCTCACGCTACTTCTGCTGCAGTCCTGCTCTTGTCTATTGATGCAGATGCCCCTGGAGCCAGTCTTGCAAGAGATACTGATGAATGGTGTGCGGGACAGTGGGAGGGTTTCAAAGACATGCTGGAGGGGCTGGGATTCTGACATTATTCCTGCTGTGCTGCAATACCTCTTCTCCTTCACAAACAGCTCTAAGATACCCTTAAGAAAAGTCCTAGTTCCAGGGATGGGCTGAGGCTTCCAGGGAAAATCCACTACCTCATCACATTACAGTGCACATAGAACTATATGGAGACATATATAAATAAAAGAGCTATTGATTAATACTTTAAAGACTGGTTGATCTAGTAGATAGGGGGAAGAGAATTTTCATAACATGCCTTGTGGGTCCCACCAACCAGGGTCCCAAACGCCAGTGACAGGGTGGCGAGAGGCAGCAAAGATGCCATCCCAAGGGGATCGGTCTCCTGAGAGCGGGCAGGAAAAAACAACCCAAAAGTGCCACAAGCCCCCTTCCCACTTCCACCACTGGGGAAGATTGGGAAACACGCACATCAGCATCCCAGGGCCAG